TTGTTTTATACACTTACATGTCTTTAAAATATATTTTTGGTAAATATTACCTCCTATAACTCAATAAGTGCAGCTAGGCACACATACAGTTTAATGTCCGTGGCACTATGCTGCACATCATGAATAGCCGGAGGCACCTTTAAAATGCCTACTGTTCCAAACAATAATAGCTAATATATATCGCAGTCCATTTCTGCAGGCATCACAGACGAACAAGATGCCAATGGAATATAAAGGATGCTTAATGAATTCTGGACATTGCCTTATTCTAAGGAAATAAAGTAAAAACACTTCAAAGTGATAGTCTATTTCCAAACTTTCGAGGCTACAGTTAGCATTCTGTTGATTCTAAACCAGTTAGGATAGGCAGTTAATTGTCTTCAAGAACTGTTGCATAATAAGACCAAACATAATTATCAAAATATATAAATTGTGTTCAGTGCTGTTCTACATGCAAAGACTGAATTAAAAACTTGAGAAAGTGCTGAAGTACCCGAGAAGATGTTGAAGTAAGGATATTGCTAGTGGATCTTGTAAACAAGCAGGGTTCATGGGAGTGCCTTGATTGACAGAACCACATAATTCTTCTAAACTAGGGAGGGGAATAGAAAAATGTCAGTAACACTGATGGTCAACACACCTTTGAAAGTTCCTTATTTATTTATTTCATTGATAAGCTGCCTTTCCTGTAGGAGCTCAAGTCAATAAGTAAAGAATCTTCATGCAATTTGTGACTACCCATTAAAACATCACTATGAATTAGGATAAGTTGAGGGGGAAGGTCTCTAATTCATTAATAGTGCTGTAGCAGGTATTTGGGAGTAAACGTCCAGTATGAAAAGCCTTTTTAGGCATTGGTCTAAAATCGGAAAATTATTATTGTAATAAAATAACAGTTCCTCAGTACTCATCAGCAATCAAACATGGAATGCCGTATTTAAGATAACAAAGGAAAGTAGGGACGCAGTGGCTCAAGGGACACGGTGGCTCAGTGGCTAAGACACTAAGCTTGTCAATCAGAAAGGTTGGCAATTTGAATCCCTAACGCTGCATAACAGAGTGAGCTCCCGTTACTTGTCCCAGCTTCTGCCAACCTAGCAGTTCGAAAGCACGTAAAAATGCAAGTAGAAAAATAGGGACCNGGGGGCAATATGCTGACTCTGTAAACCGCTTAGAGAGGGCTGAAAGCCCTATGAAGCGGTATATAAGTCTAACTGCTATTGCTATTTCTTTCTTTTTACTAATATCAACTTTTTACCCAAGCCCATCTGCTGCACAGTATAACATACATGAATCTTAATTTCATCCTTTGAGATATTTATAAAAACAAAATTATGCCACATATGTACAGGAGATAAAAGCAACCTTTCAAACACTGGATAGTAAAACTCTAGGGATAAAAGCCCAATTAGACTGAGCATGCTCAGTACCCATGAGATGCTGAATAACTACTACAAGAGATGAAAAATACAGGTGTGGAGGAATAAAATACCATAGAAATGGCACAACCGGCTAGCTAGGATTTTGCTACAATGTTCATTTCTTTAAATATCATTAAAATAACAAACAGTATAACTTTGCTCCCAGATTTAAAATGTTTTCCTGTTTCTGGTAGGTTGTTCCAGGAAATGTCATATTTAGAAATGGAATGCATCTCAACAAGAAAAACTAGTTTCTTTTTATGATCTCTTGAAAGTTTGTCATCTGATTTTGACAAGGACATTTTTTTTTGTCCGAAGGATTATCATGAATTGATTTTCCACCAGTCACTCAGGCCAATAATGTACAGCATTCAACAAAATGCCTAAGGCATTTGGAATATTTCATAAGAAAATGAAGTTTGCAGAAACCACATCCTTTGATATTATGTAAATTGGTTAACTATTAACCTACAGCTTGAAAAGTAGGCCAGGAGAAGCAAAATTATTTAAAAGAAGGCATATTTGAAGGTTTTCAAGAACATATACTGTTTTTTGATCTAATGAGGTACCGATTTTGAAATTGATGGGCATTATTAAAACGTAAAAGGAGTATTTTTGAATGAGTTTCGTTTCGTGCCAATAGAAAGACTTTGAGTAAGTTGATCTGAAAGACTGATTGGCTCAGAATCACCTATGAATTTCCATGGTTGAAGAGGGACTTGGATCTCAATCTTCTCAGGCTGCCTAGTCCAACACCTCCACTCATCACTGAAGCCTTCAGTTTCAAAAAACTGCATTTGATTATATCAAACTATCTGCTTTGAGGCTAAACACTTTTTAAAAATATTGTATCAGTTCTGTTCAAAGGCTCCAACATTTGTATATTTTACCTGAGTTTAAATAGATAATTAACAATATGCTTCGGCTGATGATCTTGTGAAGATTGGTAAATAATTTCATCATATCTGAAGGGAGAAAGGAACACATTTAGGAGCATTTGATTTAAAAAAAAAAACAACAGAAGCCACCTAGGGAACATTCTCATCTCCACACCATCACACCTGCCTTTTTGAGTGAAGGGCTGTATATTAAAACCTCCACAGTTGGAGTAACTATTCCAGGAAAAAAATATTGTCAAATAGCTGTTACGTATATATTAGCTTTTGTTCAGTACCAGCCATACAATTAACCACTGTTTTGCTTATCTGAAAAGGTGGTTAGATTATTTCCTCAAATGGCCGTGGATTTGCTGAGAACAGAGTAACAGTGTCATTTTTTTTCTCTTTTATTTTAGCATGGGGGATGGTGGAAGATGAGAGAGATATAATTTTTTTTTAATTGAAATACCTTTTGGCTTCAAATGCAATGTTTTGCAATACCAGAATCCCATAATTTTTACTAGCTAATTAGTGGCTTACATAAATGTTCTTGCCTGCTCTTTCCTTATTTTCTCTTCAATGAGGAAATCTAAGAAGCTATTCCGTTTTCCCTCCATTTCTCTTCAAGCACCTTAAGCAACCTTGCTTTTCTCACTGTCAAGGGCTTTTGCTATTCCTTACACAGTGTTCCTTCTGCAGACCCAATTCATTGGACTGTGCAGTGTTCACAGGCCCAAATGTAACATATTTTGTTTCTTACCTCCTTTGTTTTATACACTTACATGTCTTTAAAATATATTTTTGGTAAATATTACCTCCTATAACTCAATAAGTGCAGCTAGGCACACATACAGTTTAAT